TGCTCTCTGTCTGGGGCACCTTTCCACAAGTGCACATGGCTGATACGCCTATCTTGAATTTTTTGTTCATGTGGTTACGTAATCGAGTAAAATATAGGAGTTTGGGGTGGGGGAGGAGTTAAAGAAAATGATGGAACATTAGGCTGCCTGTTTGTACTTGTTTCTTTGGTCAGCGTGGGCTATTTTTCTTTATGACAGTGCGCATCAGTATGCAGTGACGTCAGCATTTTTTTAGTTTTAAAGCATTATTTATTTATTTATTTATTTATTTTATCACTGTAAAAATCCATCCATCCATCCATCCATCCATCCATCCATCCATCCATCCATCCATCCATCCATCCATCCATCATTCATCCAGCCATCCATCCATCCATCTATCTATCTATCTATCTATCTATCTATCTATCTATGCTATCTAGCTATCCATCTCTATCTCATCTTGCTATCTATCTATCTATCTATCTATCTATCTATCTCTATCTAAAATCTATCTATCTATCTATCTATCTATCTATCTATCTATCTATCTATCTATCTATCTATCTATCTATCTATCTATCTATCTATCTATCTATCTGTCTGTCCCTGTCTGTCTGTCTGTCTGTCTGTCTGGTCTGTTCTGTCCTGTCTGTCTGTCTGTCTGTCTGTCTGTCCTGTCTGTCTGTCTGTCCTGTCCTGTCCTGTTCTGTCTGTCCCTGTCCTGTCTATCTGTCTGTCTGTCTATCAATCTATCTATCTATCTGGTTTATCTATCTATCTATCTATCTATCTATCTATCTATCTATCTATCTATCTATCTATCTATCTATCTATCTACTGTCTATCTATCTTATCTATCTATCTATCTATCTATCTATCTATCTATCTATCTATCTATCTATCTATCTATCTATCTATCTATCTATCTATCTATCTGTCTGTCTGTCTATCTGTCTGTCTGTCTATCCAGCTATCTATCCAGCTATCTATCTATCTATTTATCTATCTATCTATCTATCTATCTATCTATCTATCTATCTATCTATCTATCTATCTATCTATCTATCTATCTATCTATCTATCTATCTATCTATCTATCTATCTATCTATCTATCTATCTATCTATCTATCTATCTATCTATCTATCTATCTATCTATCTATCTATCTTTATCTCTCTCTATCTAAATATCAGTTTCTATCTCTTGTCTCTCAGCCCCCCCCTACCCCCCCCCCTCCCGCCACATTCCTTAACTGTGTCATGTGTGTTTATTGATGCGAATCGGCCGACACGCTCTATTTGCACACAAATCGGAATTTAACGACAGCATCCGTGTGGAGGTAGCTGACAGAGATTTGATTATTGTAATTGGAAGTAATTACTGGTTAGAAAACTGAATTGGCTTAGTGGAGTTAAGGTCGCTGATTGGTTAATGTGAAATTGATATTTTCATTATGAGACGAAACTGCTTGCCTCATTATTTTAGTGGGGGGTTTGGGAATGCGACAGTTACAGAAGAAGTAAAAGCAGTTCACAATATTGATTGCTACAGACCTTTGATTATGGCGACTGTGTGTATTGAACAGACATCTGATACCTTGAGAAAGATAGTGCTGTTGTCGTCTTCTCTTGCTGCTGCTCTTCCCCCTACTTCGCCTTCTTTTCCCCCTCCTCCTTCTCCTCCTTTTTATTCTTCTTTTGTTCTTCTTTTCTTCTTTTTGTTCTCCTCCTCCCCTCCTTCTTCTTCTTCTTCTTCTTCTTCTTCTTCTTCTTCTTCTTCTTCTTCTTCTTCTTCTTCTTCTTCTTCTTCTTCTTCTTCTTCTTCTTCTTCTTCTTCTTCTTCTTCTTCTTTTCTGCTTTCTTTCTTTCTTTCTTTCTGTTTTCTTTTTCTTTCTTTCTCTCTTTCTTTTTTTCAATCGTTCTTCTTCTTCCTCTTCTTCTTCTTCTACTTCATCTTCTTCTTATTCTCCTCCTCCTTCTTCTCCTCCTTCTTCTTCTTCTTTTCTTCTTTCTTTCTTTCTTTCTTTCTTTCTTTTCTTTCTTTCTTTCTCTTTCTTTCTTTCTTTCTTTCTCTTCTTCTTTCCTTCTTTCTTTTTTTCTTTTTTTTCTATCTTTTTCTTCGTCTTCTTCTTTCTTCTTTCTTTCTTCTTCTTCTTCTTTCTTCTTCTTCTTTCTTCTTCTTCTTCTTCTTCTTCTCTCTTCGTTCTTCTTCTTTCTTTCTTCTTTCTTCTTCTTCTCTTCTTCTTCTTTTTCTTTCTTTTTCCTTTCTTTCTTTTTCTTCTTCTTCTTTTTTCTTCTTCTTTCTTCTTCTTCTTCTTCTTTCTTTTTCTTCTTTTTCTTCTTCTTCTTTTTTTCTTCTTCTTTTTCGTCTTTTTCTTCTTTTTCTCTTTTTTTTCTTCTGTGATCTTCTTCTTAGTATTATTCTTTATTCTTCTTCTCCAGCCTTCCGAGCCCTTTTTATTTGTTAGTTCCAGATATCATCCACCTATGTTCATCTTTGTTGTTAGTTTTTTCAGTTACTGACTCCGAAAGTTTGTAGGTTCAGTACTAATGATAAATTCCGGAAAAAAAAAAAAAAAAAAAACATTTTATGGAACCAATATAATTTATTCTGTGTTAAGTCATTAGGGATCTTAATACATTAGCATAACAAAGTACTACATTAAAGTTAAAAAAAAACATACTACATTAGGTTAAGAAAGTACTACATACGAATAAGAAAGGTGGTTGCACATGGCTAGATAATTAATTGTATTACAGGAAATAGAATCTTATCATGTACGAGGTAAAGTCAATAAGTAAGTCACAAATGATTATGGGATGACAGGATAATGTGGTGGTGTTTGCTAAAGCTGTCATTAGGTGACAGTTGCATTTGAACTTTGTCTCCCTTCGGTGGCGCTATGTACTGCTCCTTTATGACAATGTCAGACCACATACGTCTCGATTAACTCAGGTGAAAATTAACCATCTGGTCTGGGAACTTCTGAAACAACCACCTTACAGCGCCGTCTTAGCCACTAGCGATTTCCACCTTTTTTGGTCCACTAAAAACCAATGCAGCAAGTTTGGGAGGACTGATGAAACGATGGGACAAGTGCATCAGTGTTGGTGGAAATTATGTTGAAAAAAATAAAGGGACAGTGTATGTGTAAAAATATTTATTGTTTTCGAGTTGTCACTTTAGTCTTTATTTTATTATAATTATTTTTTTTTTTTTTTTGAATGTCAACACCCATTTGTGTGACTTATTCATTGACCTCCCCTCGTATGTTGTTTTCGAATTTGCGCACTGCGTAGGGGGGAGAGGAAATATTGACATTAATATGTAAAACATGGAAGCATCTCTTATGCAGTTAACATCTCTCTCTCTCTCTCTCTCTCTCTCTCTCTCTCTCTCTCTCTCTCTCTCTCTCTCTCTCTCTCTCTCTCTCTCTCTCTCTCTCTCTCTCTCTCTCTCTCTCTAGCTGGCTTTCTCCTTTTCTCGCTTTTTATGTGAGTGTTTGCCCTCGTGCGCGTGCGGGTGGGTAGTGTAATGCTTGACACTTTTCTGTTCATACCAGTTTATACCTCTGGTACAGTCTAATTCACTTGCCAAAACATAATACTTGCAAACGCAGGGTTTGAACAAATTTCACCAACTCATCAAAAACGTAGCGCCCTAGCGTTCTCACAAACTCAGCACTTACAAATGCAGCTTTTAGATTGCTACAAAATTGAAATAACCACACGATTGTCAAGCTTCATACATTGAGTGCCCGACCTTTAAGACCGATGATTACAGAGACACGCTCAGTAGATAAACCGAAGATAACCCACCCACACAAAAGCCTGTTGAAATTGTACTTGTATAAACACTACATGAATAAATTAAAAACAAGAGTCCTTAAAAGCAGTTGCGGTTTCCATCGTTATCCGCGATTCGATTAGAGTTAATATGAATATTTAGATAGGTGGGTGCTTTGCTGATGGGGGGGGGGGGGGGGATCGTCACGATCAAACAGCATCCCCAGAGAAGGAGTTTAGCTTATAAGTGTGACTAGGCTATGTGCACGATATAAAATAGCTTGGCAGTGCATGCCATCAAGAACCCGGAAAAGGACTCCTGCAGTTTTAATGCGATCAAAGGCGACAGACACAAACACTGTCCCCATCAGCGACGATTCGTCTACCGGCGAAGCCAATGTTGCCACCCGGTGACCGCCGAATATGGATCTGTGTACAATCCGTAAATAAACAAGACTCGCCAGAATAATGTCCAGACTCCGATGTGTGTAGCGGCCAGGCCTACAGGAAGTTGATTATACATGCAGGCTGGATTGATTGGCTGGGGCTTTTTCGAACAAGGGCAAATAACTCATATTGAGAGCAATGAATTCATTATAGACTGTTGACCATTTTCACGTCTTAAGGCGCATTGGGCTTATGGGAAGAGCATTCATATTTTTACAGATCAATCGGCACTAGGCGGGTAATGTTGTGAGCATTACGCCGGCCGTCTTTACTTCCCCAGGACATACTTCCTGGTACCCATTTTAGGCTGGTCAACCATACCATAGCTAGAAGGCCACACTATTCTTCACCCAGTCCTAGCAATCGCCTGGTGTTTGAGTCCACCTTAACAGCAAGAACCTAATGTCTCCCTCGACACATGAAGCGGTGAGAGAGAACGTGAAGAAGAAGAAAAAGATAGGAGTTACACCCCCCCCCCCCCCCCCCCCCCCATTTCTGTAAGTTATGTTTGAACATTACATCTTGTGCCCATATTAAAGTTGAATGTTAAAGTTGAATATTAAAGTTGAATGTTAAAGTTGAATGTTAAAGTTGAATGTTAAAGTTAAATATTAAAGCTGAATGTTAAAGTTCAATGTTAAAGTTGAATGTTAAAGTTGAATGTTAAAGCTGAATGTTAAAGTTAAATGTTAAAATTCAATATTAAAGTTGAATGTTAAAGTTGAATATTAAAGTTGAATGTTAAAGTTGAATGTTAAAATGAAAGTTTTCTTCTTCTGTTTTCAGACTGACCATGACCCACGTAACCCGGCCTACATCGCCACCCAAGGACCGCTTCCACACACCGTGGCTGACTTTTGGCAGGTTAGTATATGTTGATAAATTTCTTGCATTGCTCCTTTTCCTCAACTCTTACTTTTTTTTCCTTAGCTGCTTCAAAGACTTTTTGTTGATACAGACAGACAGACAAACAGACAGACCGACTGGGCGGGATGGATAGATGGATGGATGAATGAATGGATGGATGGATGGATGGATGGATGCATGCATGCATGGATGGATGGGTCTTGGAAGCAATATCGTGCCATAGACCGTTACCTGTAAGTAGAACATCAGGATGGACCCATGTAAATCAGAAAATGATTGCAGACACATCAAGAACTGGCCGTCTGAGAAGATGCACGTTAAATACATTCGACGACAACAATGGTCATGAAATCTCCTGCTCTCATTACAGAAGACATTTCTTAACGCGAGCATGCCTTGCAAGTAACACTGGCCATCGCCACAGACTGCGATTCCAGTGCCTTCCAATAGCACTATTCAGCTATAGCGTCTGGAAAAACGGAAAGGTGCTAACTTAAATCTATATTCTTTATATATTACTAGCCTTTCTCGGATCTGGCAGAATAATCTTTATTTCACAACCTGATTCACTCTTGTGGCCCTAATTCTCCCCCACCCCCCCCCCCCCCCTTCCTCACAACGAACACTAGAACACAACGTGACTTTCTTTACAGGTTTAATCTTTTACTTCCTGGCGTCTTTGTCTTTCTTGATGCTACTCTTTTACCAATATTCGGAGATTAACGTTACTCAGCTTGTATATTAAGTTACTTATAGTAGAAGTATTAGTTATTAACACTTACTGACACCGCCATAGCGCCAGGCAGCCTTGCTTTTCGTCACGGCTTTTACACCTCCACATTTACAAAGACATATTCGATCTTCTGACATTTATCGAAGTCTGCTAATAAGAGCCGGCCTGCCTGTCAAATTCTCCACTGTAATGAGACTAATAATTAACTTTATAAGTAACGTTAAGAAATCTCTTCGGTATGCGGCCTACACTGCTGATTCTGTAGATCATTACAGTTACTAATTGGCTCTGTTTACGCCGGAGTAGGATAAGTAACAGTGTCTGAACAGTAACATTAAATTGTGCTTGCTTTAGCGTTTTGGCAAGTTCTTTGATTATGTTTGTGAGAGAAGCTGCGTGATGATACTTCGTGCACGGAAACGATTTTTGTCTCTTTTTAATTACTCACGCGTTACAGTGGAAGGATTGGCAAGGCCGGGGGCGTGTCTTGATTTCATTTCGATTTCCTGTGCACAAGATACAAGAAGATATATCACTATCAGGTGCTGTGTTCGTAAGCGGTACAGTCGTACACGATCACCTAGAATTTGGGATCAGGTCTATGCTTCTCTCTTTGTTATGCCATTTGGTCAACCCATCCAGGTATTGATCATCTGCCTTCTACTTGCTCTTTTCCGTTGAAGTTATCCAGTTGTAGCTGATCTTCTCAAAGTTCAAATGTCCAGAAACAAACTGGACTGATCATTTAGTTAAGACCATTCATTTACGATTAGTTTCTGGTTCTTATAGGAGCGCATCATTTCTTTTCCAGTCATTTCGCGATATTCCTTGCAGTTTCTTCACAAACCATTTTTTCCTCTCTGATAAAGTCATTCATAAACTTGCTGGTTATGGTCTCTTTCCCTCTCTGTTTTTTGTTTTTTTTTTTTCTTTGATTTCTTCTTCTACGCTTTCAAGCCTCTCCCAGTTAGAGCATAAATCATCTCAACGAACTTGCTCCAAATAGTTTTATCCATTGTCATTTGTTTCGTAAGCATACAGTTGTACGGATTTTAAACATGAACTTCACTAGCTCACCTGAACCCCCCCCCCCCCTCTATCTCTCTCTGTCTCTGTCTGTCTATCTGTCTGTCTGTCTGTGTGTGTGTATGTGTGTGTGTGTGTGTGTGTGTGTGTGTGTGTCCCATCCGACTAAAAATAATTAATTATTATAGTATAGACGTAGACGCTTCAAATTTTTCGCGCTCAGCACTTTCAAACCTAGCATCTTGCTCCAAAGCTTCAGAAGTCGAGAACCCTTAGCTACACAAATCTGTCAGGACTTACTACAGAAATAATTATATGTGTGCTGCTTCAAACACGCTCCTCCACATGTCGAGACTCTAACCTGCTCATTGACAATTTAAATAGCCTATCGTAACTTGCAATCTTTTTTGCCATGGCATGAGTCAGGAAGAGAATAAGGAAGAAATGAGGGAGATCTAGTTGTGTGTTAATACATATTTAGGTAAAATGCTGCAGATATCCTGTTTTCGTTGGTTGGTTTTCAGTGTACTGCTCTCAAAGCCAGGAATTTGTTTTATTCAAATTCTGCAGATGCAACCATTGTAATATCTGGATCATGGCAAGCATATTACCATGAGTTCTTAGCAAGGTTGTCGTGTCGTTTCGTTGCTCAGTCTACTGATTAGAATCCAGTGTTCTTATGACAGACATTACATTTACTAAACATGCATAAGGATAGAACTCCGCTAAGACCGATCCCAAGCCCGGCTGAAACATGAGGCAGTATCTGGCTTAGGCTCGTTGCTTCATGTGTCACCGGAAGTACTGAGTAACCGTGAATCAGCCAGACGGCCTGCATGGAAACCACAAGGAGGCAGTCCCTCCACCATGCAAAGGCACAACAGGCTAACCACACGTATGCCTTAAACTACAATTACAAGTTTGCACAGAGAGAGAACCGGATGGGTCTTATTGGCGACGAACTGGCATGGCTTACGGACTACGATTTACGGAACACGGAATATTCGAGGCATTAACGGGAGGGGAACGGATGTAAAAGGGGAGATAAAGAATGCAAAATTACGAATCTTGGCTCTGATGAAAACCAAGAAAAGAGGCAGGGTATTACAGGTCAGGATGGAAGTATGCTGCTCTAAAGTGGTGTTCCTTCGACGTATAGAGCCAAAAGATTGGGGGGGGGGGGGGGGTGCTGTATTGTGGCCAGGAATCAGGTTAGTAACTTCAATGGATGAAAATTCAGCTCGGAGCGAATTTTGGTGTTAGATCTGAGAGAATAAGATACAATTGCCAATAATGTTATTGGGTACAGAGATCAAGTGAAGACGAGAGAGTAGATATCAACGAAGATTTCTTTGAACTGCTCCAAATGACCTTAAATGATTGTCCCGATAAAGTTATCTTCCTCGGAGAACTCAATTCCAGAGTAGGGAATGATCAGTCTAGACGGGATGGGGTTATTAGGAGATTTGGTGAAGATGTTTTAAATGACAATGGCAAGCGACTTCTCAGATTCTGCATGGAACAGAACCTTGTCATTGCAAACACAAAATTCCTAAACAAACATATAAATGCATGAGAAATCCATTGTCGACTATGCCATAGTGAGAAGAAGTTTATTAAAGTTTGTGAGTCATGAGGGGACCAGAGATTGTAAGTGACCATTATCTGGTCACAGTAAAGAGAACAACTGAAAGAACTGCTTCAACAAGGCAACACAGACAACCATGCAAGAAACCAAGCAACTGAGTAGGGATGAGAATTAAGGGAGGCGAGCCAGAGATTGAGTCTAGATGCCAGGAACTGATAGTGAAAGCAATAGGAACTGAAGAAGAACCTCGGGAGACACTGAACCCTTCCGGGGCAGCTTCCAGAACATTCTCACGGCAGCTGCAGTAGAAGGGATGTAAGGCACCTTTGTGGGCGGGAGAAGTCAAATTGGCAATAGCAGAAAGGAAAAGGGCCTGGAAGCAAAGTCTGGCAGTTAGGAACACAGCTGGAGATATAGAGACCAGTCTGTATTTCAGTGCTGGCATTTGCAGACCATGTGGACCTGATAGCTAAATTAGAGGCACACCTTCAGTCCAGCTTACTCGTCTGGAAGGAAGAGCTTGAGAAGAAATGTGTGACCCTTAGTATCTCAAAAACTAACAGCATGGTGATCTTAAGAGAGGAGAAGAAACACCAGATCATGATGGGACAGTAGCACTGGAGCAGGTCAACCAGTTCAAATACCTTGGAGTTGTAATATACAGAAATATAGGCACTAAGACAGAGCTGGCCACTCGAAAAACCAGCTGCTGTGAGACTTTTCTAGGTCATAAACCGAGAGTTTCTTAGCACATAGAAATGCCAGAGGACAGAAATTGCTGTTTACCGCTCTACCTATGTACCAGTCATGACCAACGGGTGTGAGTCATGGGCAGGGTGTGAGTCATGGGCATCGTCAACAGCTCACAGAAGCCCGCTTCATGCCTAAGAAACGAGATATATGAGAAAGGTGGCCCAAGTGACAAGAAGGGGCAAAGTTCGCAGTCAGAAAATACGTCAAGATCTTAAAACCCAGGCCTTGCAAACTCGAGTTGGTGAGTCACAGTTACGATGGTTTAGATATGTATGCAGAAAGGGAGAAAATGGGCCACCATGGTAGGTATGAGAGGCTAAAAACAAGGGAACAAAACCTTCAGGACGACCTCAGGACCGCTGGTAAGACAACATCCGACAGTCCCTCACTGACAGAGGACTGAAATGGAACAAAGCCAGAAAGAAAACTGCTGATAGAGAAGTCTGGCGATCTCTCTGGCAAACCTCTACACCCCAAGGCAGAAGAGGAACGACTAAGTAAGTCAGTAACATACAGATGGTAAACGAAATTGTGGATTTAGCTAAGAATACTAGATCAAAATAGATATATATTATGGTGTTCCGGTAGGTAAAAGAGGAACTTCAAACAAAATTTACAAATAGAGGTGTCCTAAGGCTCATTTAATTCTTATTCTTTTTTTTTTCTTTTTTCTTCTTCTTCTTCGCCTTCCTCTTCTTCTTCTTCTTCGTTTTATTCTTTGCTTTTTTGGTGGCTTTGACCATAGTTACATCTTGCTGTAGTAGAATTTATTAGATGCTATCTGTCCATATTATTCTTGGTCTACATCGTAGTCTGTGTCCGTTTCCTCTTTTACTGTATGCTTTGTATGATATGATATAACAGTGTGTTATCTCTGAAGGGAAAAACATTTGATTTGATATCTTTGTTTGTAATTTAGAATTGGTTCTGTGCCAATTGTTTTCTTGTATAACCCTACTCCTGAGATGACTCATCAGTACACACTAAAACAGAGAGGTATTTTTCAAAGCAGTAAGAAATTTTTTTCAAAATAAATTAAATCTTTTTCTCAGCAAAGACCAAACGTTTGAATGGTTTCACAGGAGAAATTGTAATTTTAAAATGGTGATTGGTAAATAAACAGTAGAGTATTATGTTCTTCATCAGTCTGGTAAATAAACAGTAGAGTTTTATGTTCTTTATCAGACTGATAAATAAATAGTAGTGTGTGGTGTTCTTCATCAGACTGATAAATAAACAGTAGTGTGTGGTGTTCTTCATCAGACTGATAAATAAACAGTAGAGTGTGGTGTTCTTTATCAGACTGATAAATAAACAGTAGAGTGTGGTGTTCTTCATCAGACTGATAAATAAACAGTAGAGTGTTGTGTTCTTCAACAGATGATCTGGGAGCAAGGATCCGTGGTGATTGTGATGCTGACCAAGCTGGTGGAGAATGGGACGTCTCTGTGTCACCGCTACTGGCCCGAGGAAGGAAGCGATCTCTATCACATCTATGAGGTCAGAGACTCATCATTAAGTCACTGTTGTTTTATGTGCACCTGTTAGTCTTCATATCGGCTTCCCCTCCCGGCTGCTACCAGACGATTCCACACCCTGAGATTACAAAATCTTAGTCTGGATGGCAGACTAACAGGGCAAATCCTTGTTCTCCGGTTCAGCCTTTAGGACACCAGTAAGGATCAGACTAGGCTGGTGTGCGGATAAAGATGTGTAATCTGTTTTCGTTCGTTCGGTCTGGTTCATAAATGTTTCTTTTCTTTAACAAGGTAAAGTCAATGCCTCTTTACACCTGTAGCAATATATAAAGAAACATGAGACTAGACTTCAAGTTTTATAGACTTCGAAGGTTAAAGGCTTTAGCATCACACCGGCTGTTGTTACTTCTCAGGACTCTACTAAGTTACCCATCTGAGTCTGAATCGACCTTGGAGCCAGGGTCATGTTTGATAAAAAATCCAGCTCCATGCGGATTTGAACTCATGACCTATGGAGAGAGAGATATAGAGTCATACTTGGTGTTTTGTACATTAGAAGTTTGTGTTGGTGATTGTTAGCATACACAGCTTTTGATGTCTGCTGACAGAAAAGTGCGAGGGGGAGAGAAGCTTTTAGGGTCTCACTAACGAGTGGTCAAGCTGTTTGTCTCACGCTCTGAAAGTTGTGGGTTCATATCACAGACTGTACCATGGCTCAGTTTTATGGAGATCTCAAGAAGGGTTGAGGAAGTCGTCGTTGGAGTTAGTGAGTTCGTGCTTTGTGTGATGTTTTGGCAGGCGACTAGCCGTTCTGCGGTGAGAGGCCGAGCCATATGATACAAACCGCGATGAAGTATTAATCTATCCTTACAGCTTTAACTTTACGGAAGACTAAGGATACATAGAATTGTTTCGAGTGCAGTGACATGGATTGTGTGGTTTAGATACCTAAATAACTGTCGTCTTAGCTTGTACTTGATCTGTGCCACTATCCTCCATAACCCCCATCAGGTGCATCTGGTGTCAGAGCACATTTGGTGTGACGATTACCTGGTGCGAAGCTTCTACCTGAAGAACCTGCAGACAAATGAGACCCGAACCGTTACCCAGTTCCATTTCCTGACCTGGCCTGAGCTCTCAGTTCCTGCGTCCATTAAGGCTCTTCTGGACTTCAGACGGTTTGTACATAATTTAATATCACATAACGTTTGTAGACTAGATGTTTCTTAATTCGTAAATACAATTAGTAGATTAGATGTTTCTGAATTCGTAGATACAATTAGTAGACTAAATGTTTCCTAATCTGTAGGTACAATTAGTAGGCTAGATGTTTCCTAATCTTTAGATACAATTAGTAGACTAGATGTTTCCTAATCTGTAGGTACAATTTGTAGACTAGATGTTTCTTAATCTGTAGGTACAATTTGAAAACTAGATGTTTCTTAATTCGTAGATACAATTAGTAGGCTAGATGTTTCCTAATCTTTAGATACAATTAGTAGACTAGATGTTTCCTAATCTTTAGATACAATTAGTAGACTAGATGTTTCTTAATCTGTAGGTACAATTTGTAGACTAGATGTTTCTTAATTCATAGATACAATTAGTAGACTAGATGTTTCTTAATTCGTAGATACAATTTGTAGACCTAATGTTTCTTAATTCGTAGCTAAAATTTGTAGACCTAATGTTTCTTAATGTGTATGTTAACTGAAATGGCACATTTCTACAATTAGTAGATAGATTGATTTTGTAGACCTAATGTTTCTTAATTCGTACGGCACATTTCTCTATTTGTTAAAACGGTGAATTGATATGAAAATGATAAAAATTTGTAGATGTGACACATATTCATCTGACATCAGTCTGAAAGATGAATTTATTAGAAGTTATATTCATTAATTCTTAAAATCTATATAAATCCTATCTTGATATATGGAAGTGAATTGTGAACAGTTAGTGAATTAGTGAAAGATTATTTGGAAGCTGCAGACATGTGGTTGTGTAGACAAATAATGAGAATACCCTGGACATATATAAAAAAAAAAAGTAATAAGGATGTCTTGAAAACAAAAAAATTACTCACGTAGAGAACTGATTACCCACATCATAAAGAGACAATCTCCATTATGTGGTCACGTGATGAGAAGGGAAAAAATTGGCGTACATCGTGACAGTTAGAAAGCTGGAGGGAAGGAGAGGCAGAGGAAGACTGAGATAAAAGATGCTGGACAGTCTGAGATCAAGGCATGGAGGATCACCTGTGTCCGAGTTGAATGAAAGTACACGAGACAGAAGGTTGTGGATAGACATGATTATCAACGCCCCACGGCATGGACTTTAAGAGGAAGAAGAAGAATCATTAATCTGTTTTCAATATGAATGTAATTATTGCACTAAAAAAGCTCAACTTCTATTATCCACAACAGTATATGCTGCTTGGCTTATTAGAATTCTTGCATAGCATATAGTAGCTTGTCTATTACATCTTTTACAAACACGTCTTTGTTGTTTTTTAAATGTCCCTTTACATGCCCAGTGGCGCCATTAGTATATAAGGCTCCACTCATATTTTTTATAGATCAGTCAGCCCTTGAGTTTTCTGAAAATCTTGTATTTATTTGTATGATTGGGCGTTTTTGTGGCTATATGGCTGGTGCTTTGTCTGACGTTCTAGGAAAATGTCAGTTGCTCTACTCAGAAAGACCAAGCCTATTAGGATTGTTCATCATCAATTCGGATTCCTAGACATCACTAGAATTGAATTTCTAGTACCTTAAATTGTGTGTGTATGTGTGTGTGCGCGCACGCACGTTATCTAGCTGAAGCCGCTGTGGTGAAGCGACTAGACGCTGACCGCCTGCAAGCCAGGTCATGGTTTGAAATATACATCGAACCTGATTTTTTTTTTTTATGACATTGAGTCCCACATCATCCCAGCCTAAAATGGATACCTGGTAAAGTCCTGGGAAGTAATGGCGGCTGTATCGATATTGACATCACACATGCAGTTGTCAGTGGGCTAAAAACATTAGTCTAGCACTATAAACACAGTGAATCTAAGGATGTGGAAAAGGGTCTTTAACTATGCTTTCTATCTTTCAAAAATGTTTTTTTCCCCACTCAATCATGTACGTTGCAAACATGAAGCTTTGTCGTCTGATGTGTTTAATAATAAAGCAATTGTGACTTAACATCAAATCTGACTTATATTCTCAGCGTAAACATAGTGGAATTTTATCATTAAAAGTCGAATCATTACATTAGCTGAAAAACATGTAAGTAAAACTCAAGATTATCTTCCTACTTTATCTGATTACTGGACATTTTAATGTCGCATAGAATTCCGTGCAACATGGGGATATGTGATAAATGATAGATTCGCTGAAGATGCATTGAAGATTTGCATAAATAATTAAAGAAAATTGTGAACGGGAGCTGAAGGGAAGAAAGTAAGAGTGCAGTGTAAAACAGGCAAATGTTATTTATTATACGTAGAAAATCTTAAATGAAATGGAATTTTGAAAGAAATAATTTAGCAGATATTCCTCAGTATAAATACCTCTGTGATCTCATTTCGCAAATGGAGGAGACTTTATGAATATTAAAACTTAGCCTAACGAAAAGAATGGGCTTAGAAAATCTGGGCGGGAAAAAACATTGAACAAACATTTAATCTTGGAAATAATAATATTGTATGAAAACAGACTTTGGTATGTCTGGAGGAAACATTTTTTTTTTTACCTTAATGAAAAGCTAAACAAATGAAAATTATAAAGAGGAAGGAAAACAATAAATCATTTGATTGTGCGCTTTTAAAAAGGATTTAAAGATTACCTCGAAATGTTGTGGGCTGATCTACAGAAGCAATAAGTGAAGTAAGCTCTGGGCATATACTTTAAAGAAAATTAGTTTCTCAGACTGCTAGATTTTTGACCTGCTGAATAGGAATGAAACAAGGATCAAACAAAATTACGTCAGTATATTTTAATTAAAATAAACAATTTTATTGTAATGTAATTTTGAGCTCTACAAATCTGTTTTTTTTTTTTTCCTTCTTAATTGACACCCCCCCCCCCCCCCCACCCTTTCCTGTTTCCTTTTCCATCCCACATTCAACCAAAATATAATTTAAATGTTTTATTGTTTACAACAAAGGAAATTAACACATTTCATTCACACACAAAAACAAATAACGTTAATAAATTATTTAACTAAAATAAAATAAAATTATATTTGAATAAAATATTTATCTGGAATAATTATAATGAGCAAATTCCTTGTCTTTAACAGAAAGTGTAAATATAATAAATACATTATTTATCTACAATACATAAAAATATATTCGTTATCCTAAACAAAGACCCTTAATATATACAATTTAATCCAAAATAAACCATCCTAAACATGTAATCTTGCCGTACTTTTTAGGATGAAATTTTTCCTTATTTGAAGCCCCACCCTGGCTCTTGCCAGGGGCCGCAATATAGGCAGGCCATAAATATGGCCAAATGGCTGAACGCGGTTTCTGGGACCTATCCACGGCGATCCTCACCCACATGGTGGCACATTGTGTCATCGGGTTTTTATCGCTCCTGTGATGTCCTGGATGGGTAGAAAGTCAGTCAGTCCTAGACATGCAATCTAGTCATCCCCTTGTGGGATGCAATTTTGTGTTATTTTGAAGCCCTACCCTGGCTCTTGCCATGGGCCGCAATATAGCCTGGCCAAAAATATGGTCTAATGGCTGAACTCTGTTTCCGAGACCTCTCCACGGGTGATCCTCATCTACAGAGTGGCACTTTGTGTCATCGGGTGTTTATCGCTTGTGTGATGTCCTTGTGGGGTAAAATGTGCTGCTATTACTTTTAAATATAGGCTAGTCCATTTGTTTGTTTATGATAACGTCGCCCCAATCTCGGACGACATTTTTATTTTATTTTACACACCCAGTCTGGCTGTAGTCGGGAGCCCAAATAAAACCAAACGATTGAACGGAGTTCGTGGGACTTGTACCCGGTTGATTCTCATCCCAGTAGTTGCACTTTGTGTCACTGGATGTTTATCGCTTATTGTGCGATCCTGGTGAGGTTGAACTTCACTCACTTGCTCATTTAATACTAAGACACGTTTGCTACAACATCTGTGTTTTGGTCAGTGTCAACTGATGAAAAGAAAACATAAATCTCCTTTCTTTAGTTGGCTTGCACAGTTTTTGTTGAATGTGTGACAAACGGAACAGTAAATTACATTCAAATTGGGCCATAGAAATGCAAAGACTAAACAGCATTAACAGTCTATGGGTAAGCACCAGCAAGGAAATCAATATTAAAATTTCCAGAGCATGCATTTCTCCTGTAGTAACATCTCTGCGCTGAAATGATATAACGAGATTATCAGAAAATCATGGACAGGGAAGAGGAGAAATAATGACATTTTAAAAGATCTGAACATCAAGGAAGATTGGCTATAAACACCATCATGTCTCGGATACTGAAATATGCTACATGATCATAATAACATGTTTGTAACGCAAATTATCATATGTACACTCCATTGACTATCCAGTAATCCAGTACCTATTGCTTGTGACAGTTAACCAGCCCAAACAGTAATGCTTACCTGAACAAAATAATAAATCGTTCTAACTGCTTCTAACACTTTACTGATCATACTTACACTTTATGTAACACTTTACTGATCATACTTACACTTCTTGTAACACTTTACTGATCATACTCACACTTCTTGTAACACTTTACTGATCATACTTACACTTCATGTAACACTTTACTGATCATACTTACACTTCTTGTAACACTTTACTGATCATACTTACACTTCTTGTAACACTTTACTGATCATACTTACACTTCTTGTAACACTTTACTGATTGATCATACTTACACTTCATGTAACACTTTACTGATCATACTTACACTTCTTGTAACACTTTACTGATCATACTTACACTTCTTGTAACACTTTACTGATCATACTTACACTTCTTGTAACACTTTACTGATCATACTTACACTTCATGTAACACTTTACTGATCATACTTACACTTCTTGTAACACTTTACTGATTGATCATACTTACACTTCATGTAACACTTTACTGATCATACTTACACTTCTTGTAACACTTTACTGATTGATCATACTTACACTTCTT